TATTACTTGATATACCCTAATAGGAAAATTAGTGTATCTATGAGATATGTCGTAACCGTTCCTGGATGAAGAATATTGCGATTAACGGAGAATTAAGTTTAGAATCATTTTATATTTACATTCAGTGATTCATTTAGAAATCAAGATATTACTGCGTCTGAAGTATTTGTTACGAATTGTTAAAATATACTCAAATTGATATGAAAATATTATTTGCTTTAAGAGATTTAAGAAACAATAATAAACAGCAAAGTTTATCTTGATTCTAACATTTTTTTCTATGTACACGTAACGCATGAGATTAAAAATCACAGAAATAACTGTAGTTGTCACAGTAGGACACTAACAGTAGGATACTGGCTACGATAATGATTCTAATTATAACAGTTTTTACCTTAAGTATGCACGCGTGGAAGAATAAAAATAGTACAATAGTAGAAAATTTCAATCTATGGAACAGTAGCATATATGACGCCGACCGTGCACGTCGAGCTATTAACGATCGAGAGATGTTTACCTCTTCGCGCGAAATCGCCGCGTTAGCGCCGATCCGGCGCGTCGCGACCGATTATCAGCGCTCGCGCGAAAAACGGCGCGACGCGGAGGCGCGCGCGCGCCGCTTTTAACATTGCCGCGGTATTGTCTTAACGAACTAGGCGCTAAATCAACGCGAGACGCGCCGTAAATCTGCGCAGGCGAGCCAGTTAGGCAATATACGGAGATTCCGCGCGGATTTACGAGCGGTGCTTGTCGATATGAGCAAAAAGGAGAGAAGTGGCCCGCGCGGTCTACTCTTTGTGGCTGAAAATTTTCGCAGAGTAGCCGTAGGGGAAGGAGTGAAGAGAGGGGAGAGGAGAGGAAAGAAGAAGAGAGAGACGAGAAAATCGATGAGTCGTTCGGGAGGAGAGATGCGATAAATTTTCGGCGGCACCGCCGACCGCAAGAAAGTCTCCGAGGAAGCTTTTCGAAGGGAACGACCGACCGGTTGCCCGACGAAGCAGCACATGAAAGGGTCAGGCAGGCGGAAGGGGTGAGGGGCGGAGCGGAATAGAGAAGGCGCACGAGAGGGAGCGGAGGTCGTTCGATCGACGGGTAACGAAAGCTTACGGGGTTAACGACCTTCTACACCTTGGGCCAGTGGCGAGTGGGTCCTCTGGAACGTTTCATGAACCGCGTTATTCGTTCGTTCGGTCGTCGTTGATTTCCTGCGGGGAGAGGGCGCAGGCAAGCCGACAATGTGAAGATTGGCGTGTTCCTCGGGTCGCACGGTTAACGTTGAATTTATAACCGTCTGATCCTGAGTGTTATTCGCCTAGTTCCAAAGGTTACACGCGCGCACAGTGCGAGCTGAAGTTGAAAAATTCAACGGCTGTGCGTAACGTTAAATGTGCGGTCGGAATATACGAATCGTATTATTCTATTGCTTTTTATCTTATCATTTTATCTTCAACTACTTTATATTCGGAACTAAATGTAAGATGTTTCGTTAAAATCTAAATTTGTTCATCGAGGATTAAGACAGACGTGAGAAAGAGAAAAGCACTCGTTGTATGCTTGAAATAACCGCAAAATAATAACGAGTTTTGAAGAAACTTGACCGTAATTTCCAGCAGTGTATTATCCTCCCTGTGTCTAAATATTGCCAGCGTTAATTCCGAATGCCAATTGAAAATCGTATCGAATCTTATCGCTTTAGCTATCAGCCGTGCCGAGAGACAACTTTGATCACTTCAAAACTTAATGGCTTTTCTTATAGAGAAGCCTTGCGCAATCGGACGACGAGAGACAAAAAAGAGACAGAGAGGAGAAAGGAGACAGCCGGAGAACTCGGAGCTACCATTTAACATTTATTCCGCGAGACCTCCCGCGTTGTTTGACGACTTCAAATTTGGATAGCGAGCGTAGAGAGTCGACGGAATATTTGGAGAGCGCTCGCCGTTGTAATTCATATTGCACACGGTGCATTACACTTGGCCACTGCGCTTCCGGAATGTCGTCACTGTCCCCCCACCCACCCTCCTCCATCCCCGTCCGCCCCACTGCAGGAAAGACGAATATTCATCTAATTCTCGACTCGTTTTCGGAGTGACAATCAACTGGTTTTTACACGAAATGTCGGAATATATAATATTTTAATCGGTTAATTTTTGGCAGATTCCTGTGAGAAATCTAGAATTGCTTTGTTTCGGAAACTTTTAAAGATACTCGTAACTAATCTTCTAGTCGGTGGTCGTTCTCGAAAAATCCAAATCCAACGTCAAAGTCCCAAAGATGTTAAAGAAAATGGAACCGACGGAAGAAAATTTCTCAGGCTTTTTATTCTTCAGGGTCACATCTTTATTGCTTCACGCCACCAATATATCGGTTCAAGAATTTATATTCACAATACATGACAAATATATAGTCATCCGTTAAATTTTGCCCTTAGCAGGTCGCATTTTCTTTGAAAGAAAAAAAACTCCAACCCTAGCCGATAATTCTATTTCTTTTGTTGGTAAGTCCTTCGAAAATGTTCGACTGACGTTTATACCAGTCGAGGATTAGTCGAAAACGTCGAAAATAATATCTAATGCCTTTATCGTATAAATAATATCTATTAGCCTTTTTTTTAATATATTCTCCTAGAAAGATAAATGTTCCGAGTGAATATTTACCGTTTTCAAACACTAACGCCGTGTTTGCCTGCAGCAATGTTATGACACGTGCTTGCCGCGTGAACGCCGAGCTCGTTCTTGTCAAAAAAAGGCGCATAGCTCACACGTTCGCAGTTACTTTCACGTAAAAAGATTACGAGGAAAGATTACGTGCACCGAAATTTTAATGTTAGCGAATAAGATATTGTTGAATTAATTCCTAAATAACTATTGCGAAATTTGCAAAATGGTAGCTTTCCTGATCAGTTTGATACGGGGATAAGGGGAAAGATAAGGGGAAAAATGCTATATTTCAACAGAATTGGTCAAAGACCATACAACGAGTGCTTTTCTCTTTCTCACGTCTGTCTTAATCCTCGATGAACAAATTTAGATTTTAACGAAACATCTTACATTTAGTTTAGTTTGGTCAACAACATCCTAATTGGCGTAAATCTTTGTTCTTCTTCTTAATTCAATAGTTACTGAAATTAATACATCTTGCATTGTTTCAATAACTTAAGTGTTACATCGAAAGAAAAAAAGTGCTACATTCAAGTAAATATTTGCTAAGGAGTATTGAAGTAATTATTTTACTTGGATTAGGAATAAATATTACTCGAATGTGTGTAGCACACTGAAAGAAAAAAATGCTCGCGTAACATTTAGGTAATATTTTCCTTAATCCGAGTAAAATAATTACTCCAATATTTCTTAGTAAACATTTACTTGAGTATATCACATTTTTCTTTCAATATAGTTTCAATAATATTATTACTGATTCAAGAAAATTTACTTCGATTATGACTGTTGATCAGTTCTATTAATACGGTAACATTTTTTTTCTTCATATACAGTTTACCTGCACAGTGTTGTGTCATTAATTACCAGACATCCTGAATAGCAGCATAACAGCATGTTACATCACATGCCGGTAATGCCGGTTTCTTGGTAATAGAACACCCGACGAAAGAAATACTCCCCCAGTTTCCTTCTCGACACTGCACTCTCCTCGTGCGTAGGCGGGCATCGATCGCCCTTAATCCTAGAAACCGACGGAGTGCAGGCGACCAAGCGCGTTTACCCCTAATATAACGAACATCTCTCGTCGCATTTCATTATAATGTTCAACGTTATCTGACTTGTCGAACGATATCAAATTTTTACCTTTTTATCGTTCTCGGCAATATTATCCGATTTTTCTCCCAGTAGATGAATTTCTTCAAAATGAAGTAATGAAAGAAATCCTTTGTGATCTCGAGCCGCTGATAGCGTATTTCCCTTTGGTCCGATTATTTTCACGCAGAAAGTGAACGATGTGCATTAGTTGTAATTTTCTGAAAGAAATATGAATTAAGTTCTTACGAATAAATTTTTGCATACTAACAGAGATAAGCCTGAGAGCGATCAAGACGGCGTTTTTCAGGAGACGGTCTTTTGAAATAGGTCTATAAAATCTGGAAATATACCATAGGTTGAACAAAAGGCGACCATCATATTTACCTGTTGGTCAACCTATAGTAGTTTAGACGCACTTTCTCAGAGGGCGTATCGAAGAGACAGTCTCCAGAAAACTGCCATCTTGGCCGCTTTCCCTCTAATATTAATAAATGATAATATTTTTAAACGTACTTTATTATCAAATTAAAAAGTAAGCAATAAAGCAGCCGGGAATATATCGGCTTGAAATCGAGCACGGAAAGGATCGAAATTTTCTTTTATTTGATTTTTTGAATTGATAAGATATTTCTACTTCCCTTTTTCGTCGAATAAGATTAAATACAAATTCCTGGCACACTGAAACGTGCATATCTTTTCTGCCATACGATAAGCTTACCTCAAACAGCTGTGAACTTTTTCTTCGTATGTGGTACAATGCGACTGCGAAGATGTAAGGTGGCATCATTTCGCTGTGAACATTAACGATAAGTTACTGTAATTATTACTTCTTAATGCGTATGAAATATTGAATGTGTCAGAGAACGTTTTTAATTTAATCAAATGTCAATCAATAATTGTTTACTCGTTTATCGTGTCGCACGACTATTATCTTTTGCGAAAGCGTGCAGAATTTCATCTCTTTCAACAATTCTTTTATTTTTCATATTATGGCACGATAAAGTCGATAATTTTGTCAAGAGCGAAAGAGCGTTAATCGTAATTACACGGTTTAGCGCAAATTCAGATAATTTTTTAACGTTTTTCCCATTAAACCTTATCGCGATGTACATTTTCTCGCAGAGCGGTGAAAATTTTTTAATATAATTCACGTACGTCGCGCGTACGTGGCGCGAGTTTATATATGTAGAATGTAGCGCAAATTATATCGAGCACATGTGGAATGACAACGTTTATATTTTTTTTCAGACTGGACCGTTTCGTAGCGAGCAAAAATGAGGACACGAGGTATATTATCACATATAATAGGTATTTTTAAGCTATACTATTATCAGCATGCATTTTCGCCGAACTTAGATCTCATGGAAGGTATACCTTCGAATTTAATTTACAGCCACAGGTTTGTTCGTTTTAGCCGAACTGGATTGCATTTTTTATCTTTAGAATGAGATTATAAATGTATAATCTGTACAATAAACAAAATTTTGTGTTAAAAAGCACACAAATATATATTAAATTAACATATTATTTTTTAACATATTTACCTTTGTTGAAGTAACACAAACATTTCAATAGACCGTTTTTAACACAAAATTTTTTTACCGTGTGGCATTGAAAGGAAAAGGAACGAAGTTCATTGCAGCACTGTAATTCAGCTAAAACGACCAGGCTTAAGAATATTCTCTTCATCTCTTTCTTTTGTTCCTCAACATTCTCTCACCGCTAGCGTAAGTACGTGGCGTCTACGATATGCACGAACAACGCTTGAAAGTACTCAGATTCATTGTTGTGTACATTTATTAGTGACGATTCCCCGAACGATTTCTCACACTCGGCCGACTTTGAAACAACATTCGACGTTAACGAACACACTACGTTTGGATTTAAGCCAAGAGTTTCAATCATTGTCCACTTAACGTCCGATTTAATGACTATGCGCTTTGAGGCACGTTGAATAATAATATTTTTAATTCGCGTTATCGAGCCAATTTTTGCAGAAACAAAAATGTTAACGCCGCATTCCGCTTTTACGATGGCGAATGAAATTCAATTAATCCTGAAAAAGCTATTTCGTCGAAATGTAGAACCGAATACTCGCTTTAACGTAATTGTCAGTTTTATTGCCGGCCGTTTGATTTACTTCGGCATACACGCTAAACGCTCTCGTGTTAGCCGAGATCGACGAGGCAGGAGTATTTTGTCGAAGGACTCGTAGTTTGAAGAGTCGTCCCGAATACAAATCTATTTCGAATCGCGACGGAACGGAGCGAAGTAGATTCATTACGATTACTTCACTTACTCGTCTATATTCGGCAGTCGATATCGTCGTCTGTTTTAAACAAATAGGCTAGATTCCCAGTTGTCCGATATATGAAACTCAGCCAGTCCCACCGGTGTGCTGTAGATTGATCGAACGGGGAATCATCTGAGTACGAACCAAACACAAAATAAGAATAGAATCGGAAGTAACGAGGACATTTGTTAAAGAACAGTTTCGTAGAGTTCGGTGAAGTCATAAGCTGAAGTATAGAAATATAAGTTGTTGTAATACAGCATAATACAGAAAGTATAATACAGTAAAGAAATATATTTTACGTGCAGAAAAATGGCATATCGAAGATTGCTTCGGGATTTACTGTTAGTAACCACTACATATTATTATGTATCTTATAAAATATATTATGAATGGTTGCCAACCATTATATATACATACATATATTTTACATAGATATCTATTCACATAGATACACACATACAAGTAGAGGTAGGCTGCATTTCGGTAAATGCATTTCTCGATGTTGCGAAGATACACGTGTTTTAATTCTAGCAGCCTTGGTACTCATGAATAAAATTAATCCAAGCGAAAAATTAAGATCTCACAGTTGTAGAATCTTGAATTATTACACATGTAAATATAGAGTTCTTTTCTTAAAGCGAGCAAAATTATTTCCTTCTTTCAATTATTTGCTTAAAATTAATACATTATTTTCGTTTTAAAAATTCTCTTAAATTATTTATACATTTTAAAAACAATGACTGCGATACATTTTTTCAAATGTACTTTATGTATGTTCAAAACTGCAATATCTGTACACCAGATAAACACATTTACAGATATTAAGGATATATAAAAAAATTACTTAATTTGGCCAAAACCCAGTGTGTCAAACAAAGTAGCAAAAAATAAGTATGCCAATGAAGAATTAAAACGAACATATGAATTAACGCGGAGATCATTCCGTCGTTTCAGTAACATCGAGATATAGATTTGCTGATATCTAACAATCGCTTATTAACCTTTACTTAATAATATATATTACTAATATATATTAATATCACCTTATGCATATACTCGACATCGACAAATAACGTTAATCTTTTGCGGTCGTAGCGCGCTCAGGCGTGAATGTCGTCGGAATTGCTTTTGAAGCTAACGACGCATCGTATGAACGCATAACCAATGCGTTCGTCCTACAACATTTCTGATTACCTTTTCTCTGTTTGGATAACTGTTCTGGTTTTACGTTATTGACCGACTCTTTTCCAAATTGTCGTGATGACGCTCCATTCAACGCCATGTCCGGCCTGCAGCTTTTCGAATACGCCAATAGATATCTGTAAATGTATAAAATTTTTTGAATTTTTCCACAATAAGTGTGCGACCAGTCCGTAAAGTATCACCCGTGTTAGCCAGGTGCCGACCGATTAAGCAGAATCAACATTGATCAGAACGACTCTACACCGTCATATAGATTTACACATGCGCGACCGCAAAGGCTTCATTTGATTTTATACTCGCATTTCACGCAATTAACAGCATTGGGAAGCTTCTTGCCTGCTAGAAATAACTATTTATTAATTAAACCTTTGCAACAGAAGGCTTTCCTTATGTTGCTATTCTTTTCTAATGCTTTTGATGCTTAAGCTGCTAATCCTAACTCTATACTAACTTCTCTTCCTAACTAATGATTTCTTTGATTATTTAATTACAGTTCCTAGTTATATTATTAGACTACTTGGATTGTTTAATAGAATACAGGTTAGGAGGAGAAGAAAAGCTACTAATTTTATGTTTGCTCGATTAGAATTTTTCGGTGTCAAACAACGCTTTTACCTCTGCAACTTTCTGAGATGTCAAATCATTTGTTTTATTCATAATATTTGTAAACAATATTAATATTTTTCACACAAAAATTTATTTTTCTACTTAGTAAGTAAAGAATTTGTAGTTTCCAGTCACAAATAAACAAAAGTAAAACTGAATTTCAATTGACATACACTTAAAACACGTCTGTTCCCGTTATTATCAACAATTCAATTAGCGCGAGTTCGTACTTGTTTAAGGTTATTGTAACAGCCAAGTGAAATGACGTCATAAAAAATACCTTTTATAGAAGGTCCTCGGAAGTAAATGAAGTGTAAAACATTAAAATGCGTCTAATAATATGATCAGGGACCGTACATTAGTATAACTAATTATTTATCTTTGTATATGTTTTGTTGCATATTGTTCTCTTTCTAGCATGTACTAGAAAGATTTCTATAAAAACGTTGTTCTTAGAAACAACCGCTTTAATAAACTCATCATATCTCTGCGACTCTCTCTTTCTCAATTGCTACTTTACGTGAATTCGTTATATGTTAAATTAAATTGGTTGGCTTTTATTCGTGACGTCTTGATCGTTGGCCTAGTTCTGAGTTGAAACCGGCTTCGATCGTCAAATTAGCGTAGTGTATCTTACAAACTAATGTATAAGCTACACTAAGAGACATTGAAAATGCCGCATCCAGAAGGACGCATCAGATTAGATTGAAACTTGGTAAACAGAGAGACAGAAGACTGAAGACCAAATGATCTCAGTTCATTGGCAAAACAACCATGGGTTCAAGATGACCCAAATATACCCCCCCCCCCCCCCNGAACAGAAGGAATGTATCCTGTAATTTTGGGCCTAATCGGATAAGTCCTGTGTGGGACATTTTAAATACCCCTTAGTGTGTAAAACTTACAAAATAATAATCGCAAAATTAAGAAACTGTGCCAAAAATTTGATAATTTATGAAATTTGGCAGAGTAAACATTGATTATTCTTTATCTCATTGTATTTTATCAATACAAATATGAGATAAATAAATAAGTAAATAAATTTAAAATATGAATAACTGATTATCGAAATATTCGTCCAGTCAAAAATATATAAGTGATCGAAGAAAGATTTATTCTAATTATTTAATTACCTTAAGTAAACAATGAGATGGATACTTAATTAGCGGGGCGACAGCTAATCGCTGCCGTTAATTCCAATTGCGATGTCAAGGAGCTTACGTATTCTAATCTGTGTTTCTTCGACTAACTTAAGCTAATTTAACCTAAGATTTATACGCATACTTAACAGTCGATCTCATTTGTGGTTATTGCGTCGCTTGCATTCATTCTTTACCACACAAGATACGATTACGTTCACGGATACAGGATGGAGCAACGTTTTACCCGTCATTTTCAAAAATACACAACTCGACTGCATTAATTTCCCGTCAAAGGTATTTCTATTATTATTGGCTGACCAGGTATTATCGCGTTTAATATATAAAAATAAGGTTAACTGAAAAATTCATTGTTTATCATTATACGTAAGTTGTACAATGAAGATATTTCTTGGATGTGCAATATATGTGGATTAACGCACCGACGTGCTCAATTCGTATACGCTTTCCACTGCGCGACTTTATTCGGTTAACGTCGGCCACTAATCCGTGTTAACTAAATGAAGTCCTTAGCTGAACGCTATAAAACAATTACTTCCATCAGCGCTCTAGAATCGTCAGTGTACCACGGTGAGTCGAAACGGGGCAATAAACGCTGTCTCCAACCTATATAATGATCTGACAAATATATATCATACAAAAATATAGAGCACGTATTATTTATTCGTATGGTATCCGTTACGAAATATTTAATAAAGATTAATTTTATTCTCCTGTTATTGATGAACGAAACAGGATTATTTGATTCCGTTTTCCAACGCGAAAATGACGAAGGTAATTAAACATTTCGAAGAAAATTCTTCTTTAATTATTTATTTAATAATTGAGACAATTGCCGTAAGAACAAAATGTATCGGATCAGAAACAAAAGGTTAAGTTTAATTTTCAATGCCTTCTCCGACGCCTAAACCGGATGCCTAAACCGGCCACGACAAAAAAGATGTTGCGACTTCTACGACAGGAGAGAGACTTATTGAAATACATATTAGCTCACAATCAATTTTACCGAATTCATCATCGCA